ATGGCCGATTTGGGGTACTATTCATGCACACGTGATTTCTCACGTTTTAGGGGAAATGAAGCTTGTAGATAGCTTGGTGAGGTCCCAAGGAGGCTCGGAATAGTTCGTTTGAAGAAATTGGACGTCCAGATCGTTGGTTTCGAAGTTGGCTGGAGTTGAGTGGTTTGGACAGGTGAGATTTTGTGGTTTTTGTCCCTAAAAGTTGTATATTTGTATTCTACTAGGTCTAAGCTTCATTTTGGTAGTAATTTCATGAAATTTGGACGAAAAACGAGCGAGATATCGAAGTTTGAAAATTTCCCAGTTTTCCGGCGCCGTTCCGTCAATTCTGACGGAATATTCCTGACGCCGTTAACGGAATCTGTCAAAACTGACGGAATATTCCTAACGGCGTCAGTTGACGCCGTCAGCGTGCCAGGCACGTGCCTGCGCGTGGGGGCGCATGCGTCAGTGGAAAATTTTTCTAAAAATTTGGGTGTGATCCTGAGGTTGTGTAGAGCACGTTGGTGAGATGAAAGGAAGGTTATGTGCTTTAAAATTAACGTTTTTATAGTATTTTCGCATATAGGTGAGACGTATCTTGAGGACGTGCGTGGTCACTCGAGGCAGGGGGCTACGACCCTTCCACATACCAGTGAGTGGGCTTTTGGTTTTTCGTATATACCTATATACTATTATTTTCCCAGAAATTGATTTAAATGTTATTAGTTATATGCCATGTGTTATATTATCGTTCCTTATGCATCATTAGTAGCTTTATTAATCGTATATATATACGTATGCAAAATTGGTGCTGTGGATGCACAGGTAAGTGCCAGGTAAGCATTATTTCATATTTGCATTCAATAGTGGTTAGAGATGCTTAGAGAGCTCATAACCTGCACCCCCGGTGTTAGTGCTCCCGCCCAGAGTAGGGCACAGTCCTTCACGTGTTGTTCACCTCCCTCACCACACGCTCAGCTTGGATCCAAGTTAGGTGCACAGTCTTGTCGTATAGACCACTTTAGGTGGTTCCGACTCGTAGGTGACCCGCGATTATTCGCACAGTCTTCACGTGATCGTAGCACTAGAGCGTTTATATGTATTACACCCAGGCCTGTCGTACAGACCACTTTAGGTGGTTCCGACTCGTGGGCAGGTTTAGTTATTGTGATTGAGATTTGAGCTCTAGATGCAGCCGTACAGGTCACGTTAGGTGACTCCGGCTGCCAGATTATATGTTATTGATGTGATTTATACTTGAGCACTTGCATTTCATTCTGAGGTTCCGATATGGCATAGATTTGAGCATGATTGGCATATTTATATACACGTGCCTATGTTTATTTTCTAGGAAGTATACAGGTTTTACAGCGAGGGTTAGAACTTATTTTGCTAAATGATTTTGAAAAGCTTTATTTTTGCCCACTCACGCTTTTGTTTTGCGCCCCTCCAGGTTCTAGCTAGCTATCAAGTTTGGTGGTTTCCAAGAGGGCTTTCCCGGCATTTCTGACAGACGATCACCAGCGTATGTTCACCTTCGGGTGCACTGTTGTAACGCTAATTTAGTTTGGACTGCTTAGGGTTTTCTGCTCTGAATTTGTGTCTCACTTACGCTAGCACTTATTATTTTGACCTTATGTATGCTAGTTTTTGATTATTCATACTTTTATGTTACTACTTTATTAGCTTCCGCACTGTGCACTTGGCTACGTCACTCCCACGTGACGGCCAGCATGCCCTGATCTTGGTCGGGGTGTGTCAACACTATGATTATCATTCTATGAGAGTGAATGGACTCACACTGATTTGTATGTATTCAATTCTGGAATGTCTGGATCTATAAAGAAAAGTGTTGAACCAGTGTTATTCAAGATGATGCTATCTGTGCATTAAACAAAAGTCAAGATATAAAAAGAAAAAAGTTATGTAATATTTGACATTTAAAATAGTTTTTAATCCAGGCAAACAAAAATTGCAAATCGTAGGTTATAAAATTTAATATCGTTTTATAGATTTTAAATAGTGTATCACAATAAAATCATATCTAACTCAAAAAGGGCAGCATGAAAATTAAGTTTCTTGTATGAAAAACTACCTATACAATATGTTTGTTCTCGTAATAACATCCGTTTTGCAAATATGATGTAGACCTCTCATCAACAATTTTATTGTTTTCTGATAAGAGCATATTTAGGCGACTTACTTAGCTTGTTTTCGTGCATCTATGTTGTTAATTCATAGTTGTTTTAGTAGTTTAAGCCATTTTCGTGTGTTTTTAGGTTCATATGGCTAAGGAAGCAAAAAGATGCATTTTGGAGCATTTTGGAGCAAAATTGGGCTTGGAATGGATAGCATATGATTGGAGCCAAAGTGTTGGACGAATTTGAAGGCCTTGTATTCATTTTGGACATAAAACAAAGGGCCTAGCCCATTCTCTCTTAAGCCAACCCCAAGGCCATGCATTTCCTTTCAATTCCAAAGCCCACAATCACTTCAAAAGCCATGCAAAGAATCATCCATTCCATCAAAAACAATCCATCAATTCACATGCAAAACCACCATTAACACACATGCACCCAAACAAAGCCAACCTAGCTAACCCTACATGCATTCTTTATTCACTCTTCATCATTGCACCACAAATCATTCACCCACATGCACTCATAAACCATCCACATCCTTGTGCCGCACCTTCACATGCCTTTCCAACATTCCTTTGCATTTTCAGCTTATCTTCATCATTATTCCCCCTACATTCCACCTAATCCACATGCTTTCCCATTTCATTATTCATTCAATTTGCATTTCTTCAATTCAACCACATGCATTTCTTTATTCACTCTTCATCACATGCATTTTCACCACCATTCACACACACATGCATCCTGAAAATCCTTGCCGTGCATCCCCCTTAGATTTTTAGAAATTTCACTTAATCATTAAGCCACCATTCACACACACATGTACTTATTCTTTCATCATTCAACCACATTCCAATTCACCACAAAACAATCACACAAATCAGCCAACACATGCACCAAAACTGTCCATGCCGTGCATCCCTTCCACTTTCCAGCTTTCCCTTGCATTTCCACCACTCATTCTTCATCATTTCAGCCACCTACATGCATTATTTATCTAACTCTTCATCATGCATCCAGAAAATGAGCAAGAAAGCTTCCCAAACACATGCATACACACACCATTTCCACCAAACACATGCAAGTCCAACATCAAAACTGTCCATGCCGTGCATCCCTTCCACTTTCCAGCTTTCCTAGCTGTTTTCCACCACATTCAAGCACATGCATGCTTAAACAAACAGCCATATGTTCCCTCCACTACTCCTATAAATACCCTAGCATTCATTCATTCATTCATCATCTCATTTCATACACAACACACCACAAACACTTCCATCTTCTCCCTAGCCGTGAGTTTCTCTCCATTTTCTGCACCATTTTCTCCACCACTCCTCATCCATTTCCATAATCCCCCAATCCATTCAACACACCAACAACATCCCTTAGTCCTTGTGCCACAATAAAGAGGAAGATAAGAGGGCCTAAACGTTCATACAATTCACGTTTGAGTTGTTGGAATGTTTACGCGTTTCTTTGATTTCAATGTTTAAATTCAATTCTCTTTGTTTTGTAATATGAGGAATGGAAGAGAAGAGTGCCTAAACGTTCATACAATTCAAGTTTGAGTTGTTGGAATGTTTAGGTGTTTCTTTGATTTCAAAGTTATGAGGAACTAAACCCTTTTTGGCTAGGGGTGATTTCAATACCAAGATTATTTATGTAATATGAATTGATGAATTCCGGTTATGAACTCTTGATTCGTGAATGCAATTGGCTTAACTATTTGATGATTAACTTATTTGTGTTTGTTGATTGAGGGTCGACACTTAATTAGCATGCATGAATATGTGGCTAAAGTTTAAGAAGGTTTCACATAATCGTTACTAACTTATACTTGAAAGATATGAAGGTCGCTTGTCACGATCGCGTTAAGTTTAATTCTTAGCATGAGTAACATGATGTCATAGTTGCAAATGCTTTGTCAATGCTTATGGTTTTCATTATTCTTAATGATCTTCGATTGTATCTCTATTATGATGACATGTAGGGAACTTTTGAGAATATTTTGGGTTGTCGAATGATGCCATCCAATCCAATAATATAAGGAAAATCTGAGGGTTAACTAGTGATGTCACGGTTAATTTGGGGCATTGTCGTTCATAATTCAATGAAGGAATAACTGGAAATTGATTCATATGCATAAATATCATGTGTGGAGAAAGAACCTCTAGCTAATTCACCAACCATCTTATTTCATCAATTACATTCTGTCTAGTTATTAACTTGTTTCGTTATTTCAATTTTCGTCAAACATCAATCCCCCTTTTGCTTTAATGTTCAATATAGTTAGAAATCAATTTAGTTTGTGTTTTTAAAGCATTTTGATTCTTTTGGTTTGTCTTAGTGTTTTAACGTTTAGTTTCACATTCTTTGAGTCTAGTTTAACGTTTTATATTGTTTTTACGTTTTTGAGTCAGTTTCCAAGAGATTAACAAGCCCTCCTAATCCCCGGTCTAGAACGATCCCTCACTTATCCATTCTACTACAATTGTCAAACGAGGGTTTAATTTGAGTGTCAAGTAATTCTCGCATCATTTTCTATGTGAGAAGCTTTGTTTGATCATGATTAAATGAAATGTATTTATTGATGTGTAGAAAAATTGCTAATTTACACTTGTAATTATGTAACATTATAAGTTAACATTTTTTTTTACGCATATACGTAAAGATATGAGACATTAATGGAGTCAATGTTTGAATACGCTTTATAAAATAAAATCACCAAACATGATTTTGCAAGGGCAGAGAAACAAAATAAAAGTCAGTTTAATAGCTAAACAAATTAGAAAGAGAAAAAAAAAAGAATTTTTTTTTATTAAAGTAAATACCTCCAAACAGTTTAACCTTCAAGCTTGTAAAAACAATAATGATTGGTTGGTGTAGTTGTTCTAATGAGAAAGCAGAAAAGGCATGTGCAACATCTGACCATAGTGTGATCTTAGCTTCTTCATTTCTGTAAAACAACGAAAGCCAAAAAGGATAAAAAAAATTTTGAAGTCATGAAAATCTTTGTATTTAAAATTATTGGAACTATTTTTTAATAGAAGAATATGACTATTAGACTATTGAAATGGAATTGAGAGGCAAAAAGCTTTTTAATTTTATTATGGACACGAAATGACTTGATGTTTTGTATAACGAAATCACATTTGTGCTCAATTCTCTGATTGATCTGTATTGGTTCTAAAGGCTGGACTGAAATGAGGTGGCCAATAACATCTTCAAATTTGAAAAAAAAAAAAAAACCAAATTGGTAAGCTCATAGGAAATTGTTGAATAAAATAGGCACGAACATATATTAAAATGTTTATTTATGTATATGATTACCTGTCAAGATATCACATTTGTTTAACCGAGGATATAATTTGTTATAATCCTGCAAGAAAAATCTGTGTCGTGGAATAGGCGGAAAGACACTTGCCAACTTCTTAAAAAGCGTCTTCGAAGTGAAAATGATTTGGGTCTCATGTGGAACAACTCTATACTGAGCCCTTGCATAGTTAGTACGGAAATTCATGATCTCATAGCAAGTGCTTGCTTCAATCTTTGGAACTATTATTTCACAGTCCATTTCAGTAGAAGATGCTTCGATAGCTTGTTGCTTGATAATAAAAAGAAAAAAAATTAAGGAAGATGCTTCGATAGCTTGTTGCTTGATAATAAAAAGAAAAAAAATTAAGGAAAAAAAAAAGTTATAATGAGAACAGTGTGGGTAAGCATATTGTTCCAAATTTTATAGTTGAAATAACATGCAATTATGTGTAGATCATAAATATTAAATAGCAATATGGATCGTAAATAGCAACAGTGAATTAACAACTATAAGTAACAATTCAAAGGAAATGAACATGTGTACAAAAAGCTATGCAGTACACAGGATAAATGGCAAAACAAATGTATGATTTGACAATATAAAACAGGACAATAAAGAGTTTTCAAATAAATTGTACACAATCTTTAGCACAGCCAGTATAAAAACTACGTCATGCGCTTTAAAGATAATAATTCATTCTTAACATAGAAGATCAAACGTTTATAAAGTCATTTGATAAAAAAATTATGACAAACCTTTTCATCAACCAATATACAGTGCAAGTCTGTATATTTGTCGCCCATGCCTGGGTATTTTGGTCTCCATATCCTACAAACACGTACTTTAATTCTGACAATCTTTTTATATGCCGCCAATTGATCAAGCGGAGTTGGACCTTCGTTTTCCATTTAATCTGTCACATCCCGGCCCAGGGCGGATCACTTCCCGGGCCCGCTCCACTACCGTAGCACGATATTGTCCGCTTTGGGCTTACCATTCCCTCACGGTTTTGTTTTTGGGAACTCACGAGCAACTTCCCAGTGGGTCACCCATCATGGGATTGCTCTAGCCCCCTTCTCGCTTAACTTCAGAGTTCCTACGGAACCCGAAGCGAGTGAGCTCCCAAAAGGCCTCGTGCTAGGTAGAGATGGGAATATACAAATAAGGATCACTCCCCTGAGTGATGTGGGATGTCACATAATCTATAGAAACGAAATGTTTATAAATTTATAAACTGTGCAGCCAAGGAGATTTAAAATACCAGTCACAATATATGCATTTTTATAAATATTATAAACGGATAAAAAAAAACTGTAATTGAAATTTGATTTTGAGCGAGATCAGTTATTCAATAATAATAGTGAAATAAAAACACACACATTTATTAAATAAGTTGTCAGTCTCTTTTGATTAATACAATCAGACAAAAAAAATCGTTTGTCGATCCTATCAAATTTGATTAAACATTGAGATGATTTTGATAGAACAAATAGTCAACATTAAATAGGTCTGTACAAAATAGTATAATCTAGTTAACAAAACAAAACATACAAATACAAACATTGTATCACAAATAAATCCGTATAAGAAAAGGGGGAATTGTTGTTAAATTGCAGCAGGAAAAATAATTAATTTAATACTGTTCGTATTTGGTTATAACAGAAACATCACCTTCTTCACTTTTAACAAAAGCATCACCATCACCACTTTAATAACAACACTTGATATAGTATATATAACACTTATATAGCGTGATATATTAAAAGATACCATAGTACAGTCTAAACAGAAGTAAAACCAACCAGCCAAAAAAAAAAAATTGAATTGAACACTAAAATGTATGATATAACACCCAGATCAATTGATAAAAGGAAAAAGTAAAAAAACTTAATACCTGACAAAAGGAAGCAAGAACTCCAGCCAGAAATCCTCAAGACAGAACCTGTTTCCCAAAAAAAAATAAAAAAATAAATGAAAATGCACGCTCCAACGAAAGAACATCATAGACAGCAAAACAACATCACAATTGCAAAGGAAAAACAGAAACTCCAAAGCAAAACAAAATCGAAAGCAAAAAGCACAACAAAAATGAGGACCAAACTTACAAACCCAGATTGAGCACCGAAGTTACAAATTTAGATTTGCAAGCAGCAATACCAAAAGAGGAGAAAAAACATAAGCCCAAAGCTAAAAAAAAGAAGAAAAGAAAAGAAAATATGACAGCAAACGTGCAGCAAAGAGAAGAGAAATAAAAGAGAAGAGCTTACAAACCCAAATTTACAAGCAGCGACACAGAGAGGGGAGAAAACGCAGAAGTCGAAACCAAAAAGAAAGACAAATGAGAGAGGAAACGTGCAGAAAAGAAAAGAAAAATAAAAGCGAAGAGCTAAAAAGCCAAACGCATGGGATCATTAACACGTGGTTTGCCCTAGCCAATATAATATATATATATATATATATATATTTTATCTTTTTGTTTTTCTCCCACCCTGCATCATGACCTTGGACTATCTTTTATGCCCTGCCATATATATATTTCTGCCACTTCGCATTTATTATCTCTTTTTTCGAGGAATGGGCTTTGGTTAGTGCCACCAGGCAACTGCAAAGCATCCACCTTTTCCTCTATCTGCCTCTCAAATGGAAGAGGATGATCAACACGTGGCATAATGTAAACCAAAACATGTTGATATATATATATATATATATTTATATGTATATATAAATATAAATATATATATTTCTATCAGCGTGCATTTATTATCTCTTTGTCGAGGAATGGGTTTTGGTTACTGCCATCGGGCAACTGCAAGGCATCCATCTTTTCCTCTGTCTGCCTCTCAAATGGAAGAGGATGATCAACACGTGGCATAATGTAAACCAAAACATGCTGATATATATATATATATATATATATTTCTATCACCATGCATTTATTATCTCTTTTTCGAGGAATGGGCTTTGGTTACTGCCATCGGGCAACTGCAAGGCATCCATCTTTTCCTCTGTCTGTCTCTCAAATAGAAGATGATGATCAACACGTGGCATAATGTAAACCAAAACATGCTGCCAGCATCACCAATAGCCACGCACGCGCAACACACATGACCAAGGGCAAAATGGCCAATTTACTGCACAATCCCACCAAATCCGAAAAACCATGAAGAAACTGAGGGACGAAACCGGAACGGCACTGTTAATGAACAGTGCCAATCCGCTGAGCTTTAGTATAGATAGAATATATATATATATATATGTATGTATGTATGTATGTATGTATGTATGTATGTATGCATGCATGCATGCATGCATATTTGTGTGTGTGTGTGTCTTTTGTTGTTTTGGGGGATCCATCCACCGTGGCACTATATTTTTTACATAATATTTGCACAAATTTTGAACTACTAGATTAGTCCATTTTTAAGGATTGAGATGTAGGTTGACATGGCAATTAATTTTATTTCTATTTCCTAAAAATACATATTTAATATAAATAAAACTTTACAATTATAATTTTCTTTCTCTCTCATCTATCATTAGTTATAAATTCTCGCTCTCATCTAATCATTTTTTTGGAAAGTATTTCAATCAAATATTTTTCTCATTTATTTCTACTAATCAGTGAATAGCAATAACAAAAGGAAAGTGTTATTGGCACTCCAAAAATCTCATTCTACACTCCTTACTAGTGTATTTTTCTTTTCTAATATAGAAAGTTTGGAGTGAATGAGATTTTTGGAGTGGTAATAACAATTCCCTAACAAAAACTCTAATTATGTTTCACCTTCTTCCTATGCAAACCTAACAAGCTTTTCTTTCTTATCATCACTGGCCTGGGATGAACAACATGAGTGAATCAAAACACCTAGAAACACAAACTAAGACTCTTTCTAACTAAATTGAACACTAAAGTAAAGGGGGATTTAGTTTTTGACGAAATTAAAACAAAGAGCACATATTGTAATTCAAACAGATTGTAAATACGAATTTGACGAAAATATGGATGGAATGCTAGCTAGAAGGTTCTTCTCCACACATGTCACACTTTCATACAAGATGATTTTCAGTTGGTCTTTCGATGAATCATGAAACTCAACACCCTAGGTTAATTAGGTTCGCTTAAATTAACCTTCAAGTTTTCCTTAAGTTAATGAATTGGATGGGAAAGCGCATACAACAATTCAAAACATTCTCCAAAAGTCCTTTACGTGAAAAGCACAATAAAGATACAATCAAAGATCATTAAGCAACATGAAAACTATAAGTGTTGACGAGGCATTCGTTACTATGATGAGCATGAAACTAGTGCCAAGAATTCATTTAACGCGATTGTTTATAAGCAACCTCCACTACTTGTGAATATAAGTTTGTAACTATTAGGTGAAACTCCCTCATATTCTAGCATCATATTCATGCATGAAAACTAAGCGTGCACTCTCAATAAACATACATAAATACGTTATCAATCAAGTAGTTAAACAAATTAAATCCACAACTCATGAAATTCCAACCGAAGGTAATCAATTCATATTGCAAGCATAAACATGGTTTTGAATCACCCCCTAGCTAACTAGGGATTTAGCCTCTCATGTTCACAGAAAGAGAAACAAAATTGAAATTTAACATAGAGAACAAAAGATTGATTACACCTAGAATGCCCAACGAATCCACTTTGAATTTCTGCACGTTTCAAGCTCCTCTTTCTTCTTCTCCTTGCTGCGGCAGAGAGGGTTTGGGGTGTTTTTGGATGATTTTCTGGGTTGTGGATGGGTTTAGGGTGGTAAAGGGTTGCGGCAAGGGGTGTGGGTGGTGTATGGAGGTGTGGAATGGTGGGGGAATGGATGGTGGTGCTGCGGCAGAGAGTGGAATGTGGCTACAATGGATGGTTGTTGCGGACTGAAGGTGGGAGAAGGGATGGTGGCTGCGGCAGAGATGTGTGGGATGAAAGAATGAATGAAAAGTGATCCTAGGGTGCGGCTAGATGCAAGGATATATAGGGTTTCAGAAAATAAAACCCTAAGTTATTTTTATTAACTAAAATTAAGTCAAAGGCTGCTAGAATTAGGGAATTAAATCAGAAATTAAAAAGGGATTGGCTACAAGGTGTGGCTAGGGTTTATTTAGAAAGGGAAATAGGGTTTAAGTGCAATACTTTGGACCTAAATACCCCCCTTGCATGGCAAGGGAAGGGGAGAAAGGGAAAGGCCACGGAAAAAGTGTGTAAGTGGGCTAGGGCCTTTGTTTTGTGTCCTAAAGTGCATACAAGGCCTTCAAAGTGGCTGGAAAATAAGGATTTTCAAGATTAGGAAAAGGTTACCAAAATGGGAAACCTAGGCTTGTCAATCGTAAAAGTTTCTTCAATTCTTGGTGGTGCATATTGTTGGAAATGTGCCCTAAAACCAATCATATGATGATACTTTATGGACATTTCACATGTTAAACTAATCTAGTTTAATATTAAGGGCAAAGATTATTGTTTGAGCCGTCTCATATAAATGTTATATGCTTAAACGATAAGTCCAAGGAATATGTGATTGGAAGAATGCGATCTAAAGAAGTTAGATTCATGAGACCATTCTTTCGTTGACACATCCTAAACGTTCCTGATCATAGGATTGTCAATTGGGCATTGACAGTCCGTTAAGATCAGTACGTGCTATGTCTTCTCTCAGGGAGAGTGACTAGTCTCGAGTCATTGGTGTGTGTGACATCAAAATAAGTACGTAGGTGCTCAATAGAGAATGAGTTCACTGAACACGATCAACGAAGAGTTCTCATATTCATGTCACATGAGAACTCATGGTTGGGATAATGCAAATTAGTCTTTTGACCTGAGGCATCACAGTTGTCTTGTGGTTAGGTCCTTAATCTTTGATTATGTCAAAGTCACTCCGTCATGAGGGTGTCCATGGCATCGTTGGGGTTAAGCCACTTAGCCATGGAGGCAAGTGAATGCGCAACAAGGGATCTCTAACCTTCAAACTGTTTGAGGGAGAATACTCTATGATATGATTTATAATCTCTGGCCAGAGTATGAATGAGATGTTGGAATGCGTTCCAGATCACATTCAAGGTAATCATATAAGTACAAGATTCACATTGGATAGTAGACATGAATAAACTATCAAACCAAACAATGTGGTCAAGAGTATTGTATTAGAGAAAGACCGTATTGCATTTGTAATCCTAAACTGAATAGGTTCTCCACCTCTTCTGATTAGCTTGGGTAACCATGACATGCTGCTAGGCGTCAACCATGGTTTGTGGAAGCCCTAAAAGTGTATTATCACTAACGGGAGAATTGAAAGTAAGTTTCAATTCACAATCGATTAGAAAGAGTTTTAATCGCCCACTGCCTCGCTAAAAGGAACCTAATGGATCGTTCACCGAGTAAGGTAGAGTTTGAAGAAACAACGGAGATGAGTAAGAATAATTAAATGGTTTAATTATTTATCTAAGGCTAGGATTAATTAATATGTTAATTAATCAAACGAATAAGTTCGTTAAAGACCTCGGGTTAGTTTTGGGCCACAAGGCCCAATGGGATTTGAATGTTAAGCCCATTAACTCAAGTTGTATGACAACTTGAATAAAACAAAGGGCTTGAAAGCCCAATAAACCTATAGGCCATGTGTAAAAGAATAGGGCTTTTGGTCCATTAGGTCACTTATTTGAAGGGACTATATAAAGGACTTTATAGTCTAAAATTTACTAAGGGTTATTTTTGGGGAAAGGATGAGAACACAAGCTCTCCTTTCTCTCTAAAATTTTGGCCAACCTTGGAGGGATCATCTAGCAATCAAACTCCTCCAAGGTCACTCATTTCTTCTTCATTATGCCTTAAAGATGAATAATTAGAGGTTCTCAATTTTGGGAACTTGGAGAAACCTTTTCATCCATCCAAATCCATGGATCTAAGATGCAAGGAATGAAGGCCCTCTCTTTGGG